CGGTTACTATCAACCAACGCTCGGATGAGCTTTTCGTGTTCACCCAGGAGGGAACCCTGACTTGACAGGGCATGAAGGATTGGGGTAGAATCCGCTCCGGATCCTGCGGGGTTTATTCTTGGCCAGTTCTTCTGTTACGCTCCTCGTAAAGAGACTCAAAACTTGAACCCGCGATGCAAGAACACTTGGGACGGAGACTTAGGTGAAGTTTCAAAAAGACTGGATTTATTTAAGTCCTCAAAAAACAGGCAGGAGACAAAGTAAACTCTCAACAGAGTGGGAAGAACGTGGAGCAGGGCTGAGACGGAGGTTGGGCTGGATGTGGCAGGCAGGACGGAATGGAATATGGAGTTTCTGGAACAGGCACAAAACAGAACAGGATTAGTATATGAAAAAATCCAACTGGAAGAGTATACAAAAAGACTAGCAATTCTAGTCAGCCGGAACTGGAGTTTACCACTGTGAGTATACGAAGAACTGGCGAAGTCTGATGATCGAACCGGAGTTTTAAGCAGCAGCAGGTGAGTGGTGGTAATCAGTGATGATGAGAAACAGGAGCGGAGGTGAGTTGGCGGGAAACGGAAAGTAGGTCAACCACGCACAGCCAGGAAGACAGACAAACAGAAAAAAGGAGAAGGAGATACTGCAATTCCTCACAACAAGTTTCTGGATTTGGCAGGACAAACCACTTTACACCTGCCAGTAGTAATGTGAGTCAAGAAATACAAACATGGATGAGTAAAAAATAAACAAGATACATTCAGGTAATAAATCAGTGTTTTGTCGGAGTGGGGACATTTGGGCTTAATCTGAACCCAGAAAATATTTTGCACAGTCGGCTGTTTGCCACTGAGGACACAGGAAACCCTTTATGTGAGTTGTAAAACAGATAATTACATTTAAGCTTATTGTCTCCTGAAAAAGTAAAGTTGTGTGGCTGTCCAACACAGCACAATTCATTCTAATTGGTACCATTTTAATACCCCTCTAAAACATTATAACAGGAGGGCATAAAATGCTGGTAGTCATCCAGTAACATAATCGTTTTTTATCTTTCAAAGCCAACAGCTACCGGGGTGACAAAAAAATCCAAGAGTGGAAAGCAAGGCGCCGATGACATCACCTTGCCTCTCATGGACAAAAACCAAGGTCAGCAAATCATTGCATGCATTCAAACTATTATTAAACCGTCATCTGTATGAGAAAAGTGTTCTCTAGCTCGGGGAATAAAAGCGGATTTTAAACATATTGTGGCTCTTGTCATGTCAGGGACAAATAAATGGGGGGGTTTCAGTACCACACCATATTCTTCTGAATCATAGCCTTAAACCAATGATGTGCTGCCAGGGTTATCAGTGCAGAGACTCAGCTTATTAGCCTGAACATGCCCCCCCCCCCACAGGCAGAGCAGGCGCACGCCTCAGCAGTGACATTTCATTTCAACGTTGTTCCAAAAGGGCACCCGCTTTCTCACGTCAAGAGCGACCTCTAGCTTCCAAGCAAGCTTTTAATGAATTATTTCATTACAAGTGCCTGTTTCTCTCAGTCATCTAGTAATCGTTTCTGAGGCTTTGCTGCTTTTTAATGACTGGCCTGTTGTGAAAATGAATGTTGGTGTAGAGTTTATAGGCTTCTGCAGACACCAGTACAAGAAATAGCATATTATATGCATTTAGCATCGAGTAAAATGGTCAGTAAAATGCCACATTTGCCATATTGTCTTCCGCTAATGTAATTATAATTTCCTTTGCAGATGTATACTCCAGTTTAGAGCCAAACGATAGAGTTGGAGATGCTAAAGGGCCTGTTGTGGAAAGAGACAACCTCCAGGTATGTTCTATTAAAATTAGTTTTAGAGGATTATTGCCTTGTGATTTTAATGGGTAGGCTTTTCAGTGTTGCTGATTCAAATTGACTAACACCGTCTGTTTGCATATTTCTTTACCTAGGCGCTGAGTGAGAGAAAACACTTCATCAGAGCTGGCAGGCCTGCAGTGGGCCTCATGGATAACAAACCTCCACCGCTGGACTCCTGGGTGTAAACACCACAACACGGCCAGATACATCCTGTAGAGACACTCTCCATTGGTGAAATACAGATTTGTGCTATTTGCTCATTCTTGTACAGACAATTCAAATAATTTCCTTAGTTTACAGGAAATAACGTGCCAAACATTTACATGTATATATTATGGAGGTTATTTGGAAAAACATTTAATAGATTTTGACCTTTAGCATAATATAGCCTACTGTATTTCTGAAAAACTCATGAAGGATTATGTATGACATATGAAATAGCCTGAATATGCAAACTGTGGTGAATCATGACTCCAAAGATGATATGACATGTACAATTTGAATTGTATTGCTACACAAAAAGGAAATAATTTATAAAACGTCTAGTTTGTCAAGTTTAAGGCCTAAATTAGCATCGGTTGTTGTCCATCCCCATGGGTTATGGGCTGAAAAATATTCTGATATAAAATTATTTAAATATAATTTGGTCAGTGTTTGAGATAATTACTATTAGGGCCACCGTCGGCCTCGTCTTCAAAAACATCCAAATGATTTTAAATTCAGTTCATTCTTGACAAAGCTGCCATCAGACTCGACTATGCTGTTATTAGCAAAGCCTCTCTATTCCATTTGTTTCATGATAGGCAAAAGGGAATTGTAAATGTGTAACAAAAGACTGTTAATATTCTAAATGAAGGTATTTATATTGTAATATTTATTGTAATACCCATGTTATTAATTAAAGGTTATCGATGTGCATTAGCTAATCCCGGTAAGTGATCCTACATTCTATACAACTCTGCTTTGCAGTGGTCCTTTTTGCATCGCTATATTGAATGAAAAATGAAAATAAATGATGTGCATAATTTCACATTTTTATTGAAGTCTTTTTTTGTTTTGCAGACTGGATTTTATGCCCTCTTCCATTTTATCAGTGGATACCAAACAGCACCCCCCGGCTGATTTAACAACCCTGTATTTATTTATTTATTGGTTTAAATTAATAGATAAAGTCTCCTATTAATTTTCTTTATAGGCAGTCAATTGTGACTATTGCATTTTCAAATTTCTCTACGTTGTGGTCAAACTTAAAAACCTACACATTCGTTGTATAAAGAACATTTGTACACAGCCAGGGCTTATTCTTTGCTAGCAGTCACACTATGTGCTGGTACAACATAATAAACACCTAACTCTAACACAGCTAAACAACAATTGCAAACACAACTACAAATGTGTGTCATATTTGGTTGAATGCCAGTTGGCAGAATTGGACAGCTGTAGATGATTTCTGGCACTCATAACAATTATATGCAAGTTTTCAAACCACTTACCTACCCAAAGAGATCCAAAGAGGAGAAATCTGTGCCAAAATGGAGGTGCATTGGCCAAAAAACACTGACTAATGAATTTAATTATTCCAGGGGAACAGTCTGGAAAACACGCTCAACTCCCAGCAGTTATATTTTGAAACAAACAGCAATATGTTGGAAGTTCTTTATACATACTGTATTTTGGTCTGCAACCTACTGCAATACCGGACTACCTGGTTAAATATAGATTAAAACATGACCTACTCTACAGCATCCATTGCAATACTGTTCAGATTGCTTTGTTTACTCCTAGTAATGTCCAGTTCTTTGCAAAACTCACAACATTTCAATATATTAGCATAAATTCAGTATGCAGAATACCTTACAACAAACTTATCAGAGATGACAAAAATGTACCGTACAATATATGGTTTGAATATGTATTATGCTTATTACGCCCTCGACATAATGCATTTATTGATTAAGCAGTGACTCAGCAAAGGAGTATCACAAAAACACTTCCAAAGAATACCAATGCTACATTTGTCTTTGTATTCTCATTTCCTCCCCAAAAGTAATTTGTGGCATATTTCAAATCAAATAAATAACATGTTTTTGCCTTGAATAAACATTAGAATAATACATTTCCTACCTCATGTACACCCAGACAAGCTGTCAAGACATTTATATAACCTCATATCGGCAGTCGCTGTGAGGACTGATAACAAACTTTGATCTTGGTTGCACAATGCCACTGAGTGCGCTGAAATGTGTTGACATTAGTCATGTTTCGTTCGGCAGGCTGCAGCAGTAACGTGTTGGCATCTAGATACTCATGTACTGTGTTCAAATATCTATAGCTTCATGTCAAGGCATGATGTGTATGTCTCATATACGTGTTTTCAGAGCTATGAGTGGAATGTCAGTGTTGTATGTCTCAATCATCTAAAATGACATATTTTTTAAATCAGTTTTCATTTATTTAAATACGTTTTTTGTTTGTTAAAGTGAGTGTACTTTGATGTCAATTATTGCATTTGTGAGCTGTCAGAGAGTCGCTATTAAAACAATACCAGTAATTTGCTAAAAGCATATGCAAATGAGATCAAATCAACCCTCTTAACCACTTAATGAAAATGTTTAATTACATTTAAGATGAGGAGGCAGAAGTACAGACACTGAGTCTACACTAGCCTCTTGTGGAGATTGCATAGCATAAATGAACACATATTGTTAATTGGTAATTGATTTCAGGCATTAGAATGAAAAGTAGAACCACCAACATCATTTGAAAACTTAAAAACTTTGTTATCTCCAAACCCATTATGTTCTTTATTTGTTTTTTATAACGGTTAAACATTTTAAATGTCAGCATTGTGCAACATAAATCACTACATACATGAACATATAATGCTGATCTAAAGTCACTTTAAGGCAAGTTTTGTCAGTGGTTAATTAGGAAAAAAATGCATGCATCAAGATATCAGTGGAAATGGATGATAAGGTCCTGGCGGGTGGAGAGGGAGGTGGGCAGAGCAAGGCCAAACATCTCCAAACATGTCAGCACAGCACATTGGACAGCACAGCCCTGCCCTCAGAACCAAACCTCAAGATCAACAAGGGCAAACCTGTTTTGTCTTTGCCCCCAACAGCAACCTGTTGTCATTTACCGAAGGACAGTCTTTCCCAGTTGCAGGTATCCTTTCCAAAGGATCCCTCCCGTCTTCTCATCTGATACTCAATCTCTGGATTTTAAACCTTTACTCCACTCTACCATGGCTGTTTCATTCCTCTCCAACTTTGGATTGATCCGCTCTTCGAATGTCTTTCTCCTGATGTTGACTGGTTTGAGCATGAGCAGTCCTATCAGGTCCCCTGAGAACAGTCACAGGGTATCAGTCAGGATGGGTGATAATCCGCTACTTGATGCTCAGGTCTTTCTGAGTCAGTTTCTCTCCACTATGAACCTGACCGAGCTGAGGCCCCAGCCCAGGCCTCTGCCTGCCCGCAGGGAGCCCCCAGAGTACATGCTGGAGCTGTACGACCGCTTTGCCAACGACCGCACGGCTGTTCCCTCAGCCAACGTCGTGCGCAGTTTCAAGAATGAAGGTACAAACTTCTTTGTGTTTAACAAACTTTTTGAGCATTTCTATTCTGTATTGCACAAAAATAAATAAGTTATTTATTTATTATTGGTTTTCTCTGACATTCTTAAGATTTACGGATTTAAAAATGTCGATTGCTTTGATCATAATACATAAATCTAGAAGTGTTTATTGTTTTAATTGCCTTGAAAATTAATATGATTTACAAAAAAACAAAACGTGAATTTTGTGTGTTTACGTTTTAATATATAACAGTTTAACATGAGTTTTGACATCAAAAACATACAAAATGCATTGATTAACACTTTTTTTGATATCTTGATTTCAGATTCCTCCCCCTACAGCATAACAACAAGGGGTGTACGGATACATCCCCTGCTGTTCAACATCTCCATGCACCACCATGAGCACATAACCATAGCTGAGCTTCGCCTTTTCACCCTGTTCCAGAAGGCCCAAAGATCAAATGCCGGCATTGACTGCAAGGTGACCATTTACAAAATACATGAGGCCGTTGTTTGGACTAAAGAGGTGGGGAAAGAAGGGAGAAGGAGGGATAAAGAAGAGGTGGTGGAGATGAAGGATTTTGAGGAACTGGTGACAAAGCATTTTCGTGCCAAAGATAAGAGCTGGGTGTCGTTTGACCTGACTCATGCGGTTGCACTCTGGCGGAAGTCGTTGGGGTTTGCTACTCACAGTCTGGAGGTACATATTGCATGTCTTGGGTCAGAAGAGGAAGGGGTCACTCAAGAGGTCACGGAGCAGGATGAGAGATTGGTTGGGGTTGATATCGACAGAAGTTTGGAGGGGAAACACAATGCAGTGATGATTGTATTCTCAGATGATCAAATCGGAGATCGCAAGCAGGATAAACAAGAGCTCAACCAGCTGATCGAACATGAGAATGACCTTCCTGATAATGTAGGCCGAAGCCAACCAGATTTCTGGGGGAACCACAATGCCGGCCACGCTATTCAGGACGAGCTGGACAAACAGTCTCTCATGCAACTGCAGTCCAACCTTATCTATGACACACCTCCCCGAATCCGTCGCAATGTTAAGAGCGAGCCATGCAAGAGGACCCCACTCTTTGTGGATTTGAAAGACATTGGCTGGGACACGTGGATCATCCAGCCTAAGGGCTATGAGGCGTATGAGTGCAACGGCGTGTGCAACCCCCCTATGACCTCCGAGGTCTCGCCTACCAAACATGCCATAGTGCAGACACTGCTGAGTGTTAAGAGTCCGGAGAGGGCATCGCGTGCCTGCTGTGTACCCACTAAGTTGGAGCCAATTTCACTCCTTTATAACGATAACGGAGTGACCACTTTCGAACACAAGTATGAGGGGATGGTGGTGGCAGAGTGTGGCTGTAGATAGTCTTGAAAACATTTACAGAGAGAGAGAGAGACTGCACCAATGTTTCAACCATCATCTCAGAAACACATCTATTCATCTATTTATATTCCTTATCATGTGCTTGTTTCAACAGTATTTAAGATCTCTACAGTGGTGTGCAAAAACAGAACTCTAGACATATAGTTGTATATTAGGGACGGACACATGCTGTGCTAAATTATGTACATTTGTAATTGTATAAAGGTTATTATTATATTAATGTAGAATATAAAGCTTTTGTCATGATTTAATATATTATTTGCTGTTTTATGTATTTTAGAATGCTTTTGGATGATACCACATTACAGTGTAAATCACAGGCCATATTCCTACAAATACTACTGTAGGTTATCGGCCCCATCTGACACTGCAAGAGAAAAGAAAGAAGGTTCTGAGAGTGGATGTCTGAATATTCCGATAAATCCTGTTTGGAAACTCCATGTCATTAATGGCGAGCTAGTCAAAAGGTTCAATACTACAGCACTGTTATCAGTTGCAATAACAACCTTCTGAATTGTTTCAAAGTATGTGTGCGGGATCCAAGATCAAAAGAATGTTTCAAGGTACTGAATCTGACAAAAGTGAAGTTCGCGCCCTGGGTTATTACAGTGCTTGAAAAGAAAATACTTCTACACGCCATCTTATTGCAATATGTAAATGCAGTATCTTATTATCTGACATATTTTCATCACAGACCTTTCTTTATAATATCTACATTTCGTTCTGGCAGGAAATACATCTAATGCAGTAGTTGCTCCAGCATATTCAGTTTCAGAATAATTGAAAAATCTACAATTCAGGATAGCCCCCGGATAACAATGATTTGCACTACTTATAGGATGCTGTATGTTTTTGTTTTTGTATGAAAAGTCTCTTAAAATCATTGCATTGAATCATCGGGTTGGCTATATGCTCATTAAGAAGATGGACTATGGTACGTTGTAGCTGCGGAAATTATTTAAAGTATGTGACATTTTTCCCTTTATTTGCTTACCATTATATCTAGCTTTTGACCAGGAGATGACTTTCACAGTATCTTGGATTTCTTCTGGGATTCCTGTCTGAAAAATGAACAATTTCTCTTACCTAACATTGCTATAAACTGCTGTGAAATCTTTCCTCACACCGCAGCCATTCATATTCTGCTTTTGGTTATCACACCGATATTATTGTTATCATAGTTGTAAAGAATACAATTCTCATTAAGCAAGTTTTGATCTCTTGTACACCCTGTTTCATTGTCATGTAATCACATGTAACTCTAGCGTCACATGCCTGGCGGGCCTCTCGCTGCCCGCTCCATGCCACAGTGATAAGGAGGTGTCAGAGCCTGGAGTCTTGTAGACCGTCACTCAGGATGAGACGCCACTCCAAGTGGCAGCATTTGTGAGAAGGTGGTGTCAGATTCCTGGTCTCCAACGCCAACATGTTCTATTGACAATCCTGCCATCAGGTTGCTCAGTGCCCTCTGAACCCCCCACTTCCTCTTTCTGACACGAGCATGCTGACTCCCTTATCGAGGCCCAGCAACAGTACAAATGGAAAGAAATACATGTCACATCATCACCTTGCTTCTGCTGTTAACAGTCGGAGATAACATTGACGGAATAACACTGTTGAACTTTCTGACTTAATAGGATCCTCACTCAGCTCACAGATTTACATCGGCCAAGTTTGCAGGGCAGAGATATCGACAGACAGTGACAGATAATACATTTATTTCACAGTGTGGAACTTATTTGAAACCAGAAAAAGTAAAAACCGAATAATTATTCCTAAAAAAATCCAATATTCCAACTTCTCTGTTCACTATGGCCTGTTTTTTTTTTGGTTAGGGACCATACAAAAAGGATTTGGGTGAGGGGAAGATGCCGAATCTTACATTTAATGTTCTTTTTTAGCCAAGACCCTTGAGGACTATTCCCCATACACTTTGCGTTCATCATATTCTGTGTTCTGTTGTGATGGCTTCATTTTATTGAAACACCCATCTGCATTGTTTAAACATTAACAGGCATCAATATAAATAAAAAGAAGAATGTTACATTACTCCACCTCCAGAATAATGTATAATTAAGCTTTACAAATATATCATTCTGTTTATTTAGTTTACTACACAAACAATAAATGGGTTTGTTTTTATGAAACGCATTATTTGTGTTGTTCATTGGTCAACACCGTTCGCACCTAAATATCTGCATTTTTAACCATGTTAAAAACCATATCTGTATACTTATTTCATATTATATTTTTACAGCTGATACATTATAAATAGAAGCTGCTTTTCTATAATCTTTCTCTTTGCCTATCTCTACATAGTCTGGAAAACAACTTGTCATCAGGTTTATTTGGCAGCTTTTGGACATCAATCTTATGCAACAAAGCTGTTGGTTCATGGGAGGGTAACTTTGAATCATAAACACTTGGTAAATCTCATTGGGATATATGGAAAGAGAGAGAACCAGAAAGGGAGAATTGGACAGTAGAATGGTTTTATTACTGTGATGTCACACTCTATTCTAATAGACTTGAAAGTACAGTAAAACCATCACAACACTTAAGTTACACCTTAAAGATGTTATTCTTGTATACATTGGACATGCATTCATTAATACATTGGAGAGGAATGCACCCAGCAAATATAAAATAATATAACCAACTTTGTTTTTATGGTGACAACCATCTGGTGAGGAGAAGCGATCTATTTGAATATGTATGAAAAACAGAGGTGGGAGAACCACTCAGATCTTGTACTTGATTACAAGTACAAGTATCACAGTTTAGGAATACACTCTTACAAGTACAATTTGCTACATTCAAAATGTTGCTCATGTAAAAGTACAAAAGTATAGCATACAAATGTATTTAAAGTACCAAAAGTAATAGCACTCATTATGCAAGTTGGTCCATTTCAGAATAACATATATTATATGTTATGATTATAATTATTGACGTATTAAAGTGTTATCAAAGCTGGCATAGGTGCAGTTTTAATGACTTTGTATACTGCAGGTTAGCTTGTGAATTTACTCCAGGTGTAACGAAAGTCTGATTTAAGTGTTGATTATTTTTCACATCAATAATCCATATCTGTAAAGTAACTAAAGGTATTCAATTAATGTAGTGGAGTAAAAGTATACTATTCACCTCTGAATTGTAGTGGAGTAGGAATACACATTAGCACAACATGGAAATACTCAAGTAAAGTACAAGTACCTTAAAAGTTGTACTTAAGTACAGTACTTGAGTAAAAGTACTTAGTTACATCCCACCTCTGATGAAGAATGACATGTGTGAATGGTAGCGTAGGCCTATATGGGCCATTCTACCGAATTGGACCAAAGTCAGGTTGGAAATGATTTGGAATAATATATGTTTTTTTCCCTAAACTTTGTCCATATATATATTTTGTACCATATCTAAATTACACATATCTAGTAAAAGAACCGTACATTTTTATATCGTATTTTCAGACTGTATTTGAATGTTCTTCCTCTACCAAAAATGGTCACTACCGAAACATACATACGGTACATACACTGTAGTAAAAAAGTATTATATTAACCTGTTAAGATTGTTTTACCTTCCCTTCTCTAAATAGTATTTTAACAAATATTTCTTGAGGGTTTTCACAATTGAATTAATAAAAGTGAATTTTTAATCAAATATCAAAGTTCAATTTATACAATTCATAAAAATCATAATGCAAACTTTCTTTGTAAAATGCATAATACTGATCATATTGATTCCAGAGTTGATGATTGTTGACATTGAACATACATTAAACCAATCAGTATCATTACATTACATTACATTGCATTTAGCTGACGCTTTTATCCAAAGCGACTTACGACCAACAAAATACAACTTGAAGAAAACAGAATCATATAAGTACATCAGGCTTCATAGAGCAAAAACATTTCAAGTGCTACTCAACTGGCTTTAGATAAGCCAGCCCTTTATTAGTATAAAAGTGCTTCGTTAATAGTTCTATCGCTCGAAGTGGAGTCGAAAGAGATGAGTTTTCAGTTTGCGCCGGAAGATGTGCAAGCTATCTGCCGTCCTGATGTCAATGGGGAGCTCATTCCACCATCCTGGAGCCAGGACAGCAAACCCACGTGTTTTTGCCGATGGGAACTTGGGTCCCCCTCGCAGCGAGGGCGCAGCGAGTCGTTTGGTTGATGCAGAGCGTAGTGCACGCGCTGGGGTGTACGCAGGGCCGCCCCTCCCTACAGGCCAATCACGCAGGCTGCATGGGGCCCCGCCTTGCGCAGGGGGCCCCGCCCAGAGTGCCTCAGCTGCTGTGCGCAGTTCTCAGCTCAGTTCTCCGCGCACCCCCCGCGAGAGAGAGGTGAAAAGGGGAGCACGTCTGTAACCCGACACCGTTGCAATGAATCGACATCTGACCAATCACGGCTTTGATACGGCCAAGTGCAGGTGAAGAGATGTCGGGGAAAAGACAGTTTCAGTCCGGCGCAAGCAAGAGGGGAAAAAAAACAAAACATGAAAAAACTAGAGCACCACTCGAAGGTGGGTTATTGTATGAGTCAAATGTACAACTTGCGAATGTTGTATAAGTCAAATTGCCATATTAAAACAACAGCTGCAATTCACGACATGAAGAAGGCAGTCTCTGCAGAGCATACAGGCTAATGGAGATGCAGTTATTTCCAGCATTCTTTATTTAACATTAATTCAAGTATGTTATGCCTTTGATCTGCTAATGTACAGCAGGAAGAGTGATAAACTGTCTGTCTAGTTGGCTTACATAACAGTTAAAGTTTGCAGCCTAAAAAACATGGAGAATTCGTTCCCCTTTTATGTCAATTTGCACATTTCATGGTGATGCTCAGCCTCTCCCCTTAAGGCAAGGCAAGGCAAGTTTATTTATATAGCACCTTTCAACACAAGGCAATTCAAGGTGCTTTACAAAAATGAAAGACATTCAGACAAAGGCATTTAAAAACAGTAAAATATAATAAAATAAACATTAAAAGAAAAAATACATGAATAAAAAGTAAACTTTTACTCCTAACAGTCATCATCATGTCAACCACAACACAGAGAAATACTGATAGAAATGTGTGTGTAGTTGTTGATACATTGCTGACAGAGGGAACTACGTTTGAATACAGATTTAAGTTTTTGAGCATGTCATAAGCATGTTTTGTCTTGACTATACTACAACTATATTATAATAAAATAATATATTTATATTATTGAATTGATTATGATTATTATTATTAGTAGAAGTAGTTTATTTGCATTCATTATATTTTAATCTTTTTGAGGCTAGTATTTGGCAGGAAATGCAGACGTACCTGTAAACGCATACTGAACGACATACATGCACATTTACCATTTACCTCACTGTATACAAAAGTAACTGTGTTGATAATAATAATAATAAACAGGAATTATATTTGCAACGTAGCCTACTTTGTTTCCAAAAACAACTGTCGGTTGGGGGGGGGGGGGGGGGGCCTCATCTCACAATGTCGCTTGGGGCCCCAAGTTGGCCAGGGGCGGCCCTGGGTGTACGGTTTAACCATGTCCTGGATGTACGAAGGGCCAGA